GGAAAGGACTTTTTTTTTTTTTTTTTTTTTTTTTTTTTTTTGAGAGGTTTTTGCTATAGGGTGCATGCAGTCGCCAGTAAGACAGAGAGACAGAAAGCGAGAAATCACCCCCCAGGGGGGATGGCCATGCCGCAATCCCTTCTCCTCCATTCTCCTCTCGGGATCTTGGGCACGCACGCACACACACCCAGCGTGAGTTTAAGCCACCGGGTCTGGGACTCGAACCGCGGTCGGCTACATGGGAGTCCAGTGACATAGCCATTACACTAACTGCTGGTCCCCAACATAGGACTTTGGGAAGCTAAAAAATAAAGCTTTCTGGGCCAGCAGCTGACATAGTGGTTGGGGTACTGGACTCCCACATGGCTAACCCTGGTTCGGGTCCTGGACCTGGTGGCTGGCTTTCTCACCTTCTCTCTCTTTTACTCTGTCACAATCTGGCCAAATTAAAATAAACAAATAAATAAATAAAGTAAATAAAATAAGTCTTTTAAAAAAAGACATTTAACAAAACAAAAAGAAAGAAAATAAATAAAGCTTTCCCAGACATGGAGCCCGATTCGTTCTGTCTCTGGCCAGAGGCACAGCGAGCACAGCGCGGGCGGGCTGCCTGGGGCGGGGGTCCTGCCCAGCCAAGCTGGGCCAGCAGGAACTTTGCCCGAGCGCCGGGACTGTGCAGTCGGAGACCGGCCACAGCCTGGGAGTGGGGCTCCTGGTTCTCTGGCACCACCGGTCCTGCAGGGGTCCCGGGCGAGGCCCAGGGAGATGACCTTACCATGGTGACTCTTCCCATCCACCCATACAGCCCGCCCCGCCTACCTCAGGTCCTGGCTGGACATCCTGTGGGCTGAGGCCTGCGACAGGTCCCGGGGCGCAAGCAGGTCACTCCTTGGGCAGGTGCTGCTGGCCAGCTGAGAGGAGAAGCAGAGAGGGTGGGCTGAGCAGGGCCGCCTGGCCCAACCACCTCCAGGCAGGGCACGATGTCCCCGATGTCCCCGGCTGCCAGGCTTTGTCTCTAAAGCAGCGGGCGGACCCTCCCAGGGTGTGAGAGACCGTGTGGCCCAGGCTGAGTGTGAGCGTACTCTGCTGCCCGCGGCCAGCCTGCGCCCTCCTGGACCCTGTGGACTTGGGGATTCTGATAAGGGTCCTACCTTTGGGACTTCGGGGATCAGACAAGAAACAAAACACTAGAAGGTCCGAGGCCCAAAGCTGGCTCCAGAGAGGGGTCTGGGGACCTTTTGGACAGCACACAGCAGCGGGGGTGAAGGGAATCAACGGAACGTGAAAGAGGGATTTTTAAAAAGAATTATTTTATTTAACTTTATTTATTTTAATTTGACCAGAGAGGGACAGAGTGAGAGAGAGAGGGAAAGTGAGAAAGCAAGCTTCCAGGTCCGGGACTCGAACCACTGTTAGCCATGTGGGAATCCAGCACTCTCAAACACCATGCCACCTGCCAGTCTCAAAAGAAGGGTTATTAGGGGATGCAGCCTAACAGCTGAGTGATTAAGGGAGGAGGATCCCGCATGGCCAATCGCACAGTTTTGTTTTTTTTTTTTTAAGTTTTGTTGCAGGATGCGTGCTCTTGCCAGAGAGACAAAGACAGAGAGAGGGGAAGTGAGAAATCAGCCCTCAGAGGGCATGGCCATGCAGCAATCCCTCCTCCATTCTCCTCTCAGGATTTTGAACACACATGCAAACATGCCCCATGTGACTTTCAAGCCACCAGGTCTGGAACTCGAACTACGTGGGAGTCCGACCTTCAACCGTTATGCCACCTGCTGGCCCCATCACTGCAGTTCTAATCCCACCCCTGGCAGCTTGAAAAACGTGATGCACGTATACTCACACCCTGGTCCCCAGAAGTGAGAGGGCACAGCGTGGCCACGTCCCTGGGAGGCGCTTTCTCCCTCTCTCTCGGTCTGTCTGTCACTGGCAAGTGCACATTCTATTGAAAAAAAAAAGAAAAAGAAAAAGAAAATGGGGGCCAACCTGTGGCCTGGTGGTCAAAGTGGCTGGGTCCCACCCGGCCGACACGGTTCAAGTCCTGAGAAACACAGCGGCCGTGTGCGCACGCGTGCCCAGGTTCCTGGCTGGAAAGACACGGAAAGCGGGCCGCAACGTGACCACCCCCACGGAGATGCTTCTCGCTTCTCTGCCTGTCTCTCTGCTGAATGCTCACACCCTCTGGCCAAAATTAAAAAAAAGAAAAAGAGAAAGAAGGGATTGTTCAGAGAGTTGCTATGGACCAGGAATCCCTTTCATCGTGTCCAAGAAGGAAGAAAACTGGAGCTGCTCTAAAGCTACTTGCTGGCTCATGGCCTGTGCGCTGTCACTTCAGAGACCCTGCTGAGAGACCACGTGGTACCCTGGTCGGTTTGCTTGTGGGGGTCACATGGGAAACCCCAGAGCGGAGCTCAGAGCAGAAGCCACAAGAGTTAGGGCTTGGCTTCCGGCAGCCCCCCAACTCCAGGCCCTGGGAGCTGCTTACCTCGAGGCCCCTCCTACCCTGCGCCCTCGCTGTTCCCTGGGGCTGCCAGCAAGGCTTTGTTGTCATATGTTGTTTTACGGGAAAAAAGAGAGGACAGGAGGGGGACAGAAGGGACAGAGCGAGGCCTAGGCTCTCTCTTGTAGATAAAGGGCTGACTTGGCTGCTGAGTGCTGGCCCTGTGACCTCGTGGTTAGGGAGCCGGAGCCTGTGTGGCCAACTGAGTGGTTAGAATCCCAGCCCTGGTGGTCTGAAAACCACACTGTGGGGGTTGGCAGGTGGTGTAGTTAAAGTTCTAGACTCCCATGTGAACTACTGCGGTTCAGGTTCCCAACCCCGGTGACATCAAACCCACCGGGCGCACATCAATGTGCCCAGAATCCGAGAGAAAAAGGGATTGCAGCATGGCGGTCCCCCTGGGGGTTGATTTCTCTGTTTTGGTCTCTCTGTCTCTCCAGAGAGCACATGTGCCAATTGCAGAAATCTCTCTTTCAAAAAAAAGGAAAAAGAAAATCACCCGCAAGCATGTATCGATCGGATGGAGTGATGGAGGGGACCACACCACGTTGGGGGCGCTTTCTTCCTCTCTCTCCCTGTCTTTCTGGCATGTGCCAAGCTCAGCTGCAGGTCTGGGGATGGAGGGGTGAACAGGACTGGCATTCCAGCTCTCGCCTTCGCTTCTAGAGGAGACATGACAGACGGGGTAAGCCAGAGGGTATCGGAGAGCGGCCAGAGTGGTAAAAGAAAGGGGGTGAGGAAGTGTCAGTGAGGTTTGACCGAGGGAGGTTCACAGACATGGGGGTGGGGAGCAGGTGGCATGTGGTTAAGGTGCTACACTCCCACATGGCTGACTGTGGTTCATATCCCAGACTGACGAGGCTTGCTTTCTCACTCCCCTCTACCGCCCCTTTGGTTAAATTAAAATAATCATAATAAATAAATAAAAATCAAATAATTCTTTTTTTTTTTTTGGAGAGGTATTTGGTATACGGTGTGCACTTGCCAGAAAGACAGAGACATAGAGACAGAAAGTGAGAAATCACCCCCCAGGGGGATGGCCACGCTGCAATCCCTTCTCCTCCATTCTCTTCTCAGGATCTTGGGCACGCACGCACATGCGCCTGGTGTGAGTTTAAGCCACTGGTCTGGGACTTGAACCGTGGTCGACTACGTGGGAGTCCAGTGACATAGCCATTACGCCAACTGTTGGTTCCGAAAAAATTAAATTAAATAATTCTTTAAATAGAAAAAAACTAAACTAAAAGGAAGAGCGAGGAGTGAGCCCTGTGGGCATGGGGAGAACCTGTGCACAGCAGGTGCAAGGCCCTGAGAGGAGCAGGGGCTGCAGAGCTGCAGGCGGCAGGGTGTGAGCGGAGCGGCCACCACTGGCTGGCGGTGGGTGGCGGAGGACAAAGTCAGAGTTACTGGGTGGAGACCTCAGAAGGCCTGTGGCTTTTATCCTGAATAAAAAAGACACAGAACCAGCCTACATGGCCAGCTGCGCAATTCAAGTCCCCGACGCAGTGGCTGGAGAAATGTGCATGTGTGTGCGTGTGTGTGTGAGCGGGTGTGCCCAAATCCCAGGAGGGAGGAAAAGAGAAGGGGCTGCAGCCTGACCTGGGAGTGCTTACTCTCTCCAGTGAGCACTTGCGCCCTCTGTCGAAATTTAAAAAGAGAGAGAAGTGATGGGATGGGCCAGCAGGTAGCGTGATTAGGGCACTGGATCCCATGTGGACAACAGCAGCGTGGTTCAAGTCCTGGACCTGACTCTATGAGAAACACTCTGGGCTCAGGTGCATGCATGCCCAAAATCTGGGGAGAGGGAGATAAAGAAGAGCGTCCTGCGTGGCCATCTCCGCTAGGGGTGACTCCTCTCCCCGTCCGTCTAGTGAGTGCACGCACCCGATAGCAAAACCTTAAACAGCAAAAAGTACCAGCGGTGATTCTGGCTCGAGCAGGGGCACGTGGTCTGGGCGCCTAGTAGACAGCAGGGGGACTGGCATGGAGGAGAGGCCACTTACGGGGCTGCATCATTGAGGCCAGAGGTGAAGGCCGCTCGTCTGGGAGGGTGAGACGGGGTGAGATCACAGGGGGTGGGGAAGGACCACCACTGGGACTGCCCTGAGCCAGGAGCAATCAGGGGACACTGAGGCTCTGGGTCTGAGAAGCGGAAAGGTGGGCATGTGACACGGGGTGACACAGGTGAAACGGGGTGGAGACGCAGGGAGCTGTCCGCACAGGACACAGGGGGAAACACGCAGCCTGGAGCAGAAACAGAGACAGACCCCTTCCTGATGTTCAAATCCTGCTGCAGCATATTCCTGAATGTCAGTTGCATTCCTGGCTTTGCCTTTCCTTTTTTATTTTTTTTAATAATTATTTATTTTATTTTTTCATTTATTTATTTATTTATCTGGAGAGGTTTTCGCTATAGGGTGCGTGCGCTCACCACACAGAGAGAGACAGAAAGACAGAAAGCAAGAAATCACCCCTCAGGGGGGATGGTCACACCGCAATCCCTTCTCCTCCATTCTCCTCTCGGGATCTTGGGCACGCATGCACACGCGCCCAGCGTGAGGTTTCTTTTTTTGGAGAGATTTTGCTATAGGGCGTGTGCGCTCACCAGACAGACAGAGAGACAGAAAGCGAGAAATCATCCCCCCTGGGGATCACGTTGCAATCCCTTCTCCTCCATTCTCCTCTCGGGATCTTGGGCACGCACGCACACGCGCCCGGTGTGAGTTTTAAGCCACCAGGTCC